TGCAACTGTGTTGGTGGTTTTGGGTTTTTGAGGAGGGCAAATAGGTATGCCCAGTTTGTATACTGCTACGTTGAGGGATGGATAAAGGTCATTTGCAGGCCACAGTAGGATTCCCTTATCCATTTTCGTAACCTTGGCCTAAGTGTATGAACCAACGGCCGTATGTAGTTCTGCAGATTGTTCTGAGATTACGTAAAGGAGGTGTGTCTTGACCCTTCGATTCTGTCTTTTAAGTCGGAGAATAGGATCTCGTTGTACTACGTCTGATGCACCGGATATCTATGAAGACTATTATTTGTAGACAGCTGAGTGTTTCCTGTGTACAGTTCTAAACCAATCTGATCTGCTACAGCTAACTGTCTTTAGGTCAGGCTAGAGGTTTTGGTTTCACTGATCGAGTTATCGTCATCGATAGGTTCTTGATAAATCAACCAGGCGTTCAGCAGTGACGTTGTGTACCGCATTGTTCCCGCATGGCGCTTGCTGATGCACTGGGTACGTACACATAAACAAGGGTGCATCGTGTGATACAAAGTAACCGTACGCTGATAAAGGATGTGGATAAATTGGTGACATATGCGGAAGTAAGAATTTAGATCTAACTGAATTCAAATGCTTTCTGGCGACATACTACACAGGTCTGTGTTACATCACCTTCAAAAGATAAACAGCTGTCCGCAGCATTTCGTTCGTCAAAAATTGTCTCAATGAAGCATCGGGTGTCTTTGGGCTTCAGACTGACATTTATTGCAATCCTCTAGTAACTTCGGACAAAGTCTTTCTGCACTGCTTTCGAAATAGATCAATAAGATGACTGCCTTCAAACAACCATCCCGACCTCTAAGACCTTTCCTGGCTCTGATATAACGTCACACTGCATAGCCACTTATTACGTTCCAAATAAGGCTCGTCTAACCTGAATCCATGTTACAATCAGCTGTATATCTCTGACTTCTTCCCACGGAACAAAACACGCCAGCGTTGTTGATAAACCGAAAATGACCCGCGATTTTGAAGAAACCATTCACTTTGTATAGAAACTCCATTTCGATATGCGATTGTTGGTTTTCAGTGGGAGAAAATCATTAACATCAAATGAGTAGACGCTATCGTAGATCCGGTCCAGTAGATGATAATTGAGGGCTAAGTTATTAATCGCCTGGAGCGGTTGGTGGTAGAATTCACTTGAAGTTACTGCTTCGAGATTCAAAATTATTTAGCTGAAAAGGGTTATTCATAGTTTGAAAAAGTATAGTATAATATGTTGACAACAGACCCTGAGTGAATTTTTCGTATTCTAAAAATAAACCGATGTTCTCACGCCTGTATTCTTACGCCATGAAACTAATCAAGCGTATGCCACGCTGGATGGTTTATACCTCACTTTCGTTTTAAGAACCAAGGAAGCTGCCTCAAAAACTGAGCTCCTGAAATGAAAAACAGGGGGCAATCCCGAGGAATCAGGTGACACTTCAGATGGAAAATTCGTTTCAGAATACGTAACTCAAAGAAGATGCTTTATGTGATGTAACCAGTATGTTGGTTCAAAGCAGTATAAAAAATAAGATATTCCTTGACCTCCTCGGGTTTCAGAGATATGTTTCTACTTAATGATCTTGGATGCAAACGCGGTTTTGCTTCCATCCCGGATTTGCTCTAACTTTCAAGAAATCTATATCGTGAGCAATAATTAAAGCTAACTGCAATCGTTGAAAACAAAACACATCATTTGAAGTGGTTGTCTCATTTTAGGTCACCAAATTATCAGACCATTATTGCATGTTTCTGTTGTAGATTCCCACGAGGAGCATTCTAATGATGACGCAGAATATGAAGACGATTCCCAGGATTATGATGAAAGTGAATCAGGTCAGTAAATTCAATTGCAATTAACCCTTGAATTAGTCATGTCTATGCGGTGAAACGGAACACGCGACTGAACAGTACATAGATGAATGTTTGCCGCCAAGTTATTCCACATTGCACCTGGTGTAATTGGCTATCAAATACAACGGAACGAGAATAAGTGTTAAAATTTTACAAGGCGGTGCCTGGACGAGGATAGTTATTTATCATGCACACTAGTCAGGGTATCGGCAAACTGGCATTCATACAACACGATGTCTCATTTGCAACTAGTCTTCCGAGCCCCCACGCGCACACAGCATAGTGAATGAAACCTTCCACCAGTAGATCCTGACCATAGTAATTTGCTCCAGCAGTATTTTTTCATATTTTTTATTCTTTCATTTTACTTCTTTCTATTGAATATGCAAAGATGCAATATTTATGACGGAGGAAGCAGCAAATCAAGGCGCTGCCATTCAACACACACAATGAGTAAATCAGGCGGTTGTGATGAGATGGAAACACACATTCTCGGAGTGATAATTTGGTGACTTTACAACACAGGGCAACATCACCAAACAGTTGCAAAAAAAACACCAACCGCATTCTTTTGCGAACTACTCACAAATATTAGTAGCATCTCACAACAACCAAACATGGATTTCGTGAGAGCTATTATTTCTTGTGTCACACATATTATTACGACTGTAGAACAGCGTTTATTTGTTCAACGTTCATTGCTGAATTACTTGAATTGCCTCAGCTATTTGATTTCAGGAGTACTTGTCACAAAGTTTTCCCTGAATAGCGCAATCGTAATCAGTTGTAATGGTCATATGTGTAGTTTCACCGTAACCATCGGAAATTATTGAACTGCGAAGACGAGATAAGGTCGATCTGGAACTGGAAGAAATCAATCCGATTCCTTGAGTAACGACCTATCGGACTGTCACATTCACGCACAATCCTCAGTTCATCGATTCAACAATACACTCCGAAGCACTAGACTCGAGTTTCGCTCTTCTTAGAGCTCACCAGTAGTGCATATCCACCGTCATGGACGGAATTTGAACTCCGGATCGATCGCATGGAAGGTATGTGCGTTACCACTGCGCCAACCAGCTCATGCCATGACTGAACCAAATTGCCAATTCGTGTAAGTGTGAGCCAAACTTGAAAGATCGGTCTAGCCTTGCAGATTCGTTGGCGAATCAGTCTGTACCTGCAAGATAGTCCTGACTTGATGAGAAGCTTTCGATTGGAGTTAACAGTATGTCATCTGTGTCTCCCTTTGTTGCTGTCGGGTCACTCTGAACTGATTATCACTGAAGACGACACCTGAACAAACATGAATAGCCAATTTGGTTCAGCCATGGCATGAGCTGATTGGCGCAGTGGTAACGCACACACCGTCCATACGATCGGTCCGGAGTTCAAATCCCGACCAGGACGGTGGATATGCACTACTGGTGCGCTCTAAGAAGAGCGAAACTCGAGTCTAGTGCTTCGGAGTGTATTGTTGAATCGATGAACTGAGGATTGTGCGTGAAGGTGAAGTCCGAAGGGTAGTCAGCTCAAATTATTAAAATCTAATCACCCCACACCACTACTCACAATCAACTGTGAGTAAAACTTGAAATAACGATCTAGCCTTCTGGAACACGAAGTTTCATATAATAGTCAACTTCTTACGTGGTTGTCTAAAGTCGTCGTGTTCGGTGATTATTTGGGGTGTAGAGACGTACGACAAAGTTCGCGCTTCATAGCGCTCGAATTCACTAATTCTACATCGTCTGACCTGATCACTTTGAAGTTGGCCAATTATGAGCAAAATCAGATCGATAAAAGCCGCCAAAAAGCGCAAGCAAATCCCACAGGCGAGGGGAAAGACAGTGACACCTGCCAAGAAACCTGCGCGAGACCGGCTGAGAATGGATTCTACTTCAATAAATCGGGCTTGTTACGTCGACTGGCAGCTGCCTTACCGAATCGTGGAAGACGATTACCCTTACGGCGGATCAAGACATTAAAGACGTTCCTAGGTTTGTCGCTTGCTTTTGCAGTCGCTGAGGCGTCACAAGCCTGACTTGCTCAAACAGACCGAATTCATGGTCATCTTCACGCGACCCTGGTAGGTGTCACTGTCGTTTACATCCCCCGTACTACAGTGATTGCGCTCCCTTCCCCTATGTCTAATCCAGTTCGAACTAGTGACCTTTGTTCTTCGCATTCATTGATTTCTATCCCCCATGTGCGTTCACCAGTCCCCAACTCTGTTACTCTGCTACCCAAAAGTGATTCAAATTTGGCTACACAAGCGATAAGATCAACACGAGATAGCTGAGTTCAACTCATCCTGTGGTTACGATGTGGTAACTGTGTTCAGCTGAGCGCATGGGAACCCATTGCATAAGTGTGGAAGGACGTGCTCGTTGTTTGAAAGTAGGTAACTGCTTTCTCTTACTCGATCAGTCTGCTGAGTGGGAAAGATTTGTTCAACGTCCATATAATTATTTGGGGTGATATCATGACAGCGGAGAGCGTCTTTGTGTAATTGGTAACTTACATGATTGTCAATACTGCATTGTTGTTCTGCAATTGTTACTATGCCGATTCCCTGTGGAGACTATTTGATGCTGAGGCTTTTTATCAATCTGGAGATGAAATATTCTTTGCACAGTCAGGATCATAGTAACGCAACCAACCCGGGACACAATGTGTGCTCGACTTTCACCGAGAAAGAGGCTACGATGTGACTGCGGTTCAGTGCACGGATAGCAGAGTATGGATTAATTTCTTCTAGTGCCAGAGAGTGTTGTTCGCAGATTCTGGCTAAGAGCAACCCGGCCAAATGTAGTGCAGACGGCACATGCGATAACGGGATGCCAGTGCAAACTAGAGATGATAATGTGTTCCTCGATGTCGAGTCACCACTGTTCAACCTCCGAACAAGAGACAGTCTCAATTGCCTGGACACATTTCGGGATATTACTTGAACCACGTATAGTATGACCTGTTCGCTTGGACCAACAAAGAATTCAGAGTGTAACTGTTAAATGTGATAAAATACAATACTCAGGAGTTTTAGACAGAGCTCGTGTGGTCGTGTTTGTGGAATAGAAATTGGAATGTGGTTTGACGCAATCGGGATCGTCCGTAAAGTGTCTCCGACAAGAGTTCGTAGTTATTAGAAATACACTCACACACATACACACGCTGATGAAATACCTGGTACTGATCAAAGTAAAATTTTATCAGGGGAACACATTAATTATCTGAACTAACAGCCCTCAATCACATGAGTCAGTCGGCTGATTTAGAACATACGTGTCTTATGTGTGTATCCTACATTTGGATGATTGCATATTCCGATGAGAACGTTTACAATGTGATATGTGAGGAAGAGTGTGAAGCGAGTTTTAGAGCAAAATACGCCTTATCACAGACGCGTTACTGATTGCATGAGCAATGCGGACCATCGGTCCCTGGAGAACTGCCGAAACTACTGCAAGAAGATCTGGTTTATCTTCCTTGGTATCATATCCTACGGTTGTTTCGGTCAGTCAGTGATTCTCATANTTCTCATAACCACAATTCACGCATCTTGAATTGAATTCTGGGTTCGCATCTGCGCATCACTTGACCACTGGACAAGCGTAGCGTACAGCTACTGATATATGAGAAAACCATAGCAGTCGATTCAATGATCTGCTTGTGAGTTTTCTTTATACATGGACAAAGTTAAACAGAGTAGACATTGTGGTTATTTGCTTTCCAAGTCAGTTATTTTATCCCATTATTCCCAATTTCTCCCAAAGATGATGGCCACGAGGAAGGCGATTACAATCATGAATCAGGTTAGTACAGATAGACGATTTCTGCGAAATCTGACAGACATGACGCAAATACTATTGGAAATAGCCATGGCGATGTTCTGAATATCCACGCATGACATTTCAAAGCCAACATTTGTTGAACAAATATCAATGATCGTGTTCTCGTTCACCACATTCAAATCAAACCGTTACAAATTCACTGCGTGTTTATCTGTCTACATCAAACCGGGTCATTGGGTGGAACGATTGGTGTAAATTGTCTCGGCTATAAGAAATATCTTCGCCCCTGATCGCTGCAGTCGGAATTTGATGATGTGAGCAACGTGGAATAAATCAATTTCTGGACGAATGAACAGATCAGATGTAAATCAGTTTCAACCGCGGTGAACCGATAATGGATATCGTTTTGGACCGATGAACACGACATCAATGCAGAGTTTGTGCTTGATTGTCCATTATCAATAATGTGACTTAGTGATCATTGAAAGTGAATTATCCGGTTACACTGGCCGGAGTTCCCACTGCTCAGTTCGTACAGGTCCACCACTTTCAGCCTGGCTACATTCTCTTTTACGAAACGGCTCCCAGTCCTGAAATCGTGGACACATCTCGGACACCGCACTTGATAAGCCCAAGTTGGAATGAAATAAGTTGATTTCTGGCCGGGTGGGGGCATTGAAAGAACGGATAAATAAGATAAACTAAAACCAAGTGGTTCACAGGGTACCAGAAACGATTTCACGCAGCATTAATCGAAAAATGAATGCCTGGCAATTCATCAGCAAAACATTGATCTGCGATACAATAAAATCAGAACAACCATATTCAAATGTTTATTATGGGCAACACTTACAAAGACTTCGCTGACCAAATCCCGTAGGATGTTAACACTTTGGTTCTGAACACGATTCACAAAATCACCCTTAGTTCATGTAAGGAAAATAGTAATCCAATGTTCTTGACGAGCACAGGAGAATATATTATGCAGTTGGGTGTTGAAACATAATGTTTTAAAAAGCATCATCAAGCTTGTTACGGAAACCAAAACAGATACAACGTACGACGAAACTCGAATCGCGCTTATAGACTCTACGAAGAACACACAGTTAACAGCTGGAAACCAACGGGTAAGGTAGAACGAATCAGCAAGGTCTACCCGCGGCAGCTCACAGTAAATAGCGATGCTGTTTATCTAGTCTAAACGCACGGTCTGGGCAGAAAAAAACAACAAAATTTCTGGGCAGCAGAAATAATATTGAACGGGGTTCTATAAATAATTACAGTATCAAGTATATGAAAAAATAGGCACTCACGACTAGATGGACATGACGTCGATTTAACTGGCGCATCAAGGTCAGAATAGAAAATCAAGAATTATAAAGTGCAGTACTGCAGTTAAACAAATAGAAAGAGGGAGAGTATACAACGTTTAGGTCTGTTATAGAGCGTAACCGGTTGGGATATGGTGGAGCGCAAAAATGGTTGAGTTAAAGTTTGGATAATAGAGGATTCTCAAATCTTTTACAAAGCTGACGCTTGAAAGATACTAATGTTGGGGCACAGACCACGTGACGTGGTAGAGTGTTCCATGCGCTGCACACTCTGACTGCAAAGGAATGGCACCTGCATCCTAGCAGGCTCTTTTGGAATGCCAAATTCATTGGATGCCTTCTGAGATGAACATTGGTTGATATAACCAAAAGAGATCTACATGTATGCTTAAGCTGTTGGAAAATGCGATAAAATAAGATCATATCACCTGTGATTGGACGATATTGAGACAAACATAGCCCCAGTAGTTGTGATTTTTCGCTATAAGTCTTATAGTGTAAACTTTTGACCATCTTGCTGTTCATTCCCTGCGGATGTTCGAGTACCGCCCGATCTCGCTACAGCCATGGGTTCCAGGTCTGAATAGAGTACTCGGTGTATGAACGGATATATGTGGCTTACACACCTGGAAACAAAGTTGGCTTAAACGATCCAGAAGCACGTCCAACCTGTCCAACCTGTTGCACCGCCATCGATGACGCCCTGGAACAGTTTGTGGAGCATTTCAATTCTGCGCGAATGACTACTCCCAGATCCTTCTCGGATGTAGCATGAGGCAGAGTTTCGTGTCCAAGAGTATAGTGATAAGTCTTTACATTTGGTAACGTTGAATTCCGTATCGTTGGAGACAGACCATATGTGGGCTTCCTCAAGGGTTTTCTGAAGATCAAATGAATCTTCTGTTTTTGTTATTGTCTTCCATATTTTGGCATCGTCTGCAAACAGCAGAGTTCTGTGGTCCGAGGACGTCAAACGTGTCCGGAACTAGAATATCTTCCGGCTGAATCATATATATATTCGTGTTTTATTTTCTAAGACTGAGATGCAGAAGAAGAAGATCAATGGAAACGAATGACGTCTCTCTACCTATCTATCTAACTCAATGAAGCATTAGTTTCCAGAGAACACTGATTCAAAACAAACAGTACGCACTGTGATTTGCCACGAGAATAAATAGCCCCGGCTGTTCTGAGCACTTTGTATAACTTCCTATTCCCATTGCCAAGAAAACCACAGTGATCATCGCTGTGATTTTGTTCATTGAAATCAAACTTCCAAAAATATTGTGCATTTCAATCTATGTGCCTCAATGTTGTAGCTTACTTAGATTGCATTGTTCTGATAAGAGACACAACATCAACAACGATTGCAAAGCCGTCGAGTCCCCCGCATATGAATATGTGACCGATCAACCTAAATTAACCCTTAAATCACTCCTGATTTTGCGTTAAAAAAAATCAATACCATAACCAACCCCAATCAGCGAGTGCATTCTTCACTAATTATCCGCACCGCTTTGCCCAACTTCAGATCAAGAGGAGGAAGACCCGATAGAACCGGATGATGAACATCACACCAGTGAACCAGGTCAGCTGTGACTTTGCTTACGAACGGTTTCCTCGTTTATGATTTTAACGCTTTTCCTGTCACTTCGCTTCACTTTGTAAGCTGTTATGAGGGGAATATTGAGGTTACCAGAATGCATTCATTATATTGAACCGGAGTCAATTATGCACCGGTTACACATGGGGAATGACGTGGTTTGAATCACATGACTGAGAAATATATATACAAATATTAGTTCATGCCAAAAGACCTGGTGACATTATATACCACCAAAACGGTATTTTCTTTTCGAGTTGCACGTCCACAGACACTGGTTAATGATAGGTTAGCAAAAGCCAGAAACGGGGTCGTTTTTCAGCGGTAGCGAATTCGTACGTGCGAGTGTTCGTCCGTTGTTGGTGAATTTCCGTTGTTGGAGTCAGAACTTGTATAGTATGAAGCACAGATTGCAAGCACGTTGCAGACTTATCGTATGCACTATACAAAGTCTAGAAAAGCTTTAAGAAGGTTTAGGAAGATAGTAGCTGTCCGGAAGTGATCACTTCAAAGATACCTCTGTTAATCGTATGGAGATATGTTAAGTGAAATCAATTGGAACAATCAAACTAGCCAGAACTACAAGTTGCGTTCATCACCGCATTCGGAACAACAAAGTGAGGATATACTAGTTTGTGATACATCCAGGAGCTCTTCAAAATCATCTGTATCAATTCCTGCAATCCGTAATTTTCGTATTGATTTCACCGTGCCTGTCATTACGGTGTGCGTTGAAATGACAGCTTTTGGTCATTGGAGAAGCCTGTATTTGAATTATTGATAATTTCTGTCCAACTCCAAAATTGTAGATGTTTATTAATCATACCTGTATGATCACTTTCGACGTTACCTCAAGTGCACATAACGAGCAATCCTACCCTAGAACCAGCCTAGGATACTTGGAGAANGCCACCGCCACTCAAATCTGGTGGTAGGCAGTCCTGTTGTCGCCTGAACTTGCGGGGCCTTATGTGGTTCGCCACTCTAAGCCCCGGACCTAAGTTTCCGGTTGTCATCACTGAACAACAGGTCTCCGTGACTATGGAGTCCGTTCCGTCTTCTCTTCATCACGCACTGGTGTGTAATAAAGAAACCGAGTCCCCCGATTTATCCAGTGACCTAGAGACCACAACCAATAATTCATCAGCTATCAATTCAATTCAAGTATTTGCTTTATGCACCTCGAAAGGTGAATAATCAGCAGTCACATAGTCAACCAACAATTATAGAAGAAAATTATAACAGAATTGTCGTAAGCAATGAAAAAAAACAAGTTATGAGATGAATGAGTTAGGTTCCGAAGCGATGAGTTCTTGGCCGACCTGAAAACGGGCAACGTGTGGCACCACAGAAGACCGATAGGTGGCAAGTAACGACATAACATATGGTTTGAGATATCTCAATATACAATTGCTCTCATCGTCTTACTGCTTCCATTGTTATTGGGCCGTCGATCGACTAAAAGACATCGGTCCTTCTCATTCGCTATTCAGTAGAAACATTATTCATTGATAAATGGGATTATTGTGATAGTCCGGTTGGCTTATCCCCAGGAACATTTCCGTTCTTGCAACTCCAGGGTTTATCTGAAAGTGAAATGAACTTTTGGCCGTTGCTTTTTCATTCAGCTGAAAGTTTCGTTTTTTATTAAAAAAAATATACTTAGGCAATCAACAAAAGCAATAAACAACCTTCAAAGGCGTTAATATTCCATTGCTTCGTTCCAAATCAAATATTATTGTGTCGCGGAGCAATTCGGCGACGCTTTAACTAAATCCATATTCGGGTCACCAAGGCATTGCTAATCGATCAGTGAGAATAGTTAAACGCAATCCGCATTCATGAGTTGTAAATAAATCCCAGATGAACATTCTGCCTGGAGGTTAGGTGTAGAGTTTCAGGTAATCGAGGTCGTCCTCTTGGGCAAGTAGTCGGACTTCATAGAATAAGCTGGTTGAGATATGTGCTGCGAATGTCACCAGATAGATTGACACGGCGAGTGACGTTTGTCGAGGCAGGTAGCGGTTAGAAAATGATAAAGGTCAAACTAAGACCTCTCATGAAGGTATGAAAACCTCGACTGGGAGACTGGGTCACATAGATCCCGTTAGGCTCCCCGGATGGGGACACCGAGATCATGGTCACTGATTGTTAGATACACTGAGCGATATGGCTGAGTATCACAAATAGTAGAGCTCATGCATCAACTCACTATTGTTGTAACTTCAATCTATATAGATGCACTATCTTCCGCTTGAATCTGCCGTCAACATCATAAACTCCATTCTGCTGTTATAAGCAAATGAACAACAAAAGTACAGCAACCAAAATCCACGCACAATAGTGCATGGTTAATTGTTGCAAACAACTGAACTGAACCAAATGTCTATGCTCCGCAATGCGGGGCATGAAGTAGGACAAAAAGATAGTCCGCACAAGCCATGAGGGAAAATAAAACGTTGATATGGAAAGTTTGCTCTACTCACACCAACCCGAAATTATCTGACGGTTTCGAAGGAGCAGTATGTCGAAATATCCACAGCAAGGATAAAGTCAACTGAGAAAAAGATGATGGCCGGTTGCTTGCAATCTGAACTAATATTTTTCAATTATTCCTCCGTTCATCTGCAGCTTCTCACGTGACACCGTTGCCGAAGGGGAAAACAGTTGTGCATGAGGTCGAGAAGGAAGATGAGGAAGAGGATGCGGAGGAGGAGGAGATGCAGAATGCGAACGAGCACGACAGTGAACCAGGTCAGTGAGACACTTTTGGTCGAAATATTTACGTATTCACCCTCGACTATGATCAGAGGGGCTTTAATTTTCCCTGAAAGCTACAAATAATGAACACCTAAAACAATAATCACGCTTTTTATTCTTGGATGTACAAATTGATAAATTGTTTTCTTTCAGTTCCGAGATGGCATTTATACCAAGAGAATATTTATTTGTTTGGTGTACATTTTTCATCTACTTTTTTTGTCAACCTAACTTTTTTTATTGCCAACGGATTCGGTTTAGGGTTGCGTTGAAGCGATTAAAATGACTAACCTCGAGTCAACCAGTTGCTTCGTTAAAATCAAACTTTGTAAGTCGAAAAACCATGAATATCAATCCACCTACCTGCGGGGTATGCTTTAGGACATCCAGTACGCCATTCACTTCAGAGGGGAGGGCTGTCCTTTTATTCTTTCTGATAGTAAATGGTTTCTTCTGTAATGTAAGCATTCCAACTGAATTGGCACTGCCTCACTGCCTCACATATGTGAAACACAATGAAGGCGATAAGGAAATCCACATTGGGTAGCCTGTGTGGCGGTGTAATTCAAGACAAATAGAAGAACGCGGCGCTCCCCGGCGAATGTGTCGTCTCTCCATTGCAAGGTCCAGTCTGACGTCGAACGGGTTCTTCGTTCCGTTCTTCGGTGTTTTTTTACTGTGTAAATTGACAAATTTCGTTGCCGGTTGAGCGTTTTGAGTAGAAAGTTGTATTTCGAAGATAGAATAGTCAGCCACAAAGTCAGTCTGTTTTGGCGAATCGTTCTATTATTTAACCTTTCTGTTTTTTGTATACTATCTTACAAAATATAAGTAGCGATTCGTGGGAGACTGGTCATGACAGTTGGACGGTGGTGGCCAGGTGGTAACGTCACCAAATTATCACCCCGGAGGACGTGTGTGTGAATCCCACCACCACCACCTGTCTTTCCTCGTTGTGTTTTGAATGGCAGCCCTTTGATTGACCACTTTCCCCTTTTGGAAAATTGCATGTTTGTATACTCAATAAAAGAAAGTAAAATGAAAAATGAAAAAAGTGAAAATTGAGATTGGTGGATAGTGTTGATTTGGCAGTTATTTCCAATGAAAACTACCACGATTTGACGTGTGACATTCGTCTAAACTCGTGAAGTTCTTCTCCAAGAACAACATTCTCACATGGAGTTCTTTTTACGCAATTCTTAAGGACCGAAGTAGAACATACAAATTGTGAGATACGTGTATTTAATCTCAATTCATTCTTCCCCACGTGAGGCGCGATTTTTCCGAAGGCGCGTTCCAGTTTCCCAGACCCCGAATTAGCTCTATTATCATAGCATCCTCACCGTACTCTCTGTTTTATTATCACTCAGTGATGTACAATCACAGATTTTTTCTGTATATTACTGTGGTACTTCAAACCACCTTACATTATAAGTGATGTTCTGTAGACAGCTGTTTCAACTGTTCACACGTCGGTCACAGTTCCCAGATCAAGAACTCCTAGGATGAAGAACAGAAGTCACAACAGCACTTTTTGTAATCCATTGTTCTAGCTCACACCGATAAGCACACCCACCTAACGTCCCTCCTCTACAGAGTGACCAGCAAAATGGCCGGTGGGTTTATATGACGCCATGTGGTAGCTCCTCCACGACTGTGATGACTCAATATCGGATACAGTTGTAAAGATTGGTGCTCTTTTGTAATCAAAACGTGCCACAGTGATTAGCATGGTTGATCAAAGCATGAATTTGATAGTCTGAAGAATCGTAACTTTTGAATACCGAGATGCAAAAAATATGGACAAGTCATGTATTTCGACTGCTTGAACGGCACCAAAAGTGGACTGTATGAGGGAAATACGGAACGGACTACGACTTTGGTGTGCATGCCTGATTTTGGTTTGTTTTTTTTGTCATTAAAAGACTGGAATCACCTGACGGTTGTTTAGGTCAAACACGTACGTTTGATTTACTTAAATTACAGAAACGTTTGGACGGTAAATACTTGGATCAGACTATTTGGTTTTTCACCGGTACGCTCACTTGATGATCTTGGATGTTGGTTTCACTCTTTGGGAGATTGTTCGAGTCCTGACAGGGACACAAAGTACCCACCACTGACGGGACGAAACAGTGATGCAGTGCTCAATGTCGGTTATCACAAACACTTCCATCGCATTTAAATGCATTCAAATGGTAAGAAAATAGCAATCTCCCAGGAAGCGACGACCACACTAAAGATCATCAACAAGACCTGGTGCTTATGAAAAACCAAACGGACAAATCCAAACATTCATTCATCGTCTAGATTGATTATGCCAATCACACAAGGTGATGCTTGTCGACCGCATAGCTCAGGGGAAAGGGTTTAAAACGCAAACCCGATGGTTCGCGGTTCTAGTCCTGACAGGGACACCAAGTACACACTGCTGGCGATTCTCAAACAAACAGGTAAAAGTAGCTGTCCAATCGGCTATCACAAACATTTCCAAAAAGCAAAAGTAGATAATGGTTTTTTTTAGCCGAATGTAACGGTTATTCATCAGGTTTGATTTAACTCTGAATAGAATGAACGCGTCTATTAGCGTCTGTTCCCTGTCCGTCGGGTAATAAATGGAGTCGTTCGAAGACAGATCGATCACTACGCTCAGGTGTAAATGTGAATAAAACTATTTCATGCATGATTGTGTGTGGTCGAGGCTCTGAATGAGATCACGGTTACATCGAACCGGGTTTTAGACTTTATCCGAATTATTGAGCACTGAAAGGTATATTTATCAATTGTAAGGAAAAGACTACGGGAAATAGTTTGTTGACCAAAAATTGAAGTCCCAACCCAAGTGCTAATACGTAATAATCCCATCCAAACGTATGTGGCTGCGTGTTTGCAGCCAGAGCTGAACCATTGGGACTCGAATTTCTCATTTCTCATTTTGTTCTTGTTATTAGGCATATTTGATATTCTGTAATTACATGATTACCAATAGGTGAAAACAAATTTGCCAGCCGCGCTGTTACTGTTCTCAGTGTGCTGTGTGAGACTATTTCAAACGTTTAACTAAAGATTATAAAACACTGGGTCTTGCTCCCTGTGGTTTCTAAATGTAATATTGAATTATGTGTTTTATTTTGCCCGTGATACGTTACCGATAAAAAAACAAATGGCTGTTTAGACCATTTACCATTTTTTTCAATGTTTTATAACTTTCTCAGTGAACTATCAAGTCACCATTTTTCGTAACCTTTCCCAAGTCGATGTGACTTAATTTTATCATTGAAATTTGGTTCACATCGACAGAACCGTGATCCATCTAAAGGTACTAACATCGTTAGAGCCAAATGGTCACGTTTACCAATTTTTTTGTTATTACCCCATCTAAAAAATGCCAATCGATACATCCGATATAGCCAGCTTTAAAGAACACCAATGCCGTTTCTATGTTCATGACATTAGCTACTCATGAAGCTCGTCACATTACTTTTAGGGGATCTTTTGACTCTGGTCGTAGCTGTTGTGCTGACCTTCCGTGGTGAAGTGGTTTATTCTTAGTTACCGTTGTGCTTTGGATCCTGATGTTCCAGGTTCGAGGTCCGCCACCGCCACTCAAATCTGGTG